CATCATCATTCTGGTACACATTAACATCCAACAGTAGAATAAAACAGCTCACTGCTCTGCAGCGCTCTGCACACAGAATACTACATTCATTCTTCACATCATCGCTGCTCAGTAAACAACACATGTAATGTCTGATCAGAACAGATGGCCCATGGTCAGTACTGAACAGGACTATCTGCATGTTGGAGCCAATCAAACGCTCTGTCTCTGCAGTAAAGAACGTAAGCTGTAAGTAGAGCTGTTATTCAGGCCTATAAGTTCTGTAAAATAAATCAGTGTAGAGGTCTTTTTTAATCAGATGTTTTTCAGGTTTCTTTCTTTTGCTGTGATCTGGAGTAAAGAAAGAAGCACATGCCAGTTGGTTCATGAAATACGGAGCAACACGTGTTTCCAGCTTCAGTAGAGATATTTTATTTTTATTCATATATTCTTAAACAGAGTCATGACTTTTTAGAAAGGACTTCTTCAAAATGCACACTTGACAAAGTTCAGGCATAACGTCTATAAAATCATTTTTGTGTTGGTGTTGTGCTTCAGGAAGCTGGTTTGGCAAATTCTATTTGTTTTAACTTGGAAACAGTTCTCTGTTTTAGAAGCTGTTTTAAATAAAGTTGTCTAAAAAAAAGTCAATGCAAAGTTAGCAGCCGAGAACAAACAGGAAGTTGATGTCCTTCCTTCAGAACAAGAGTGAACAGAAATCTCCGCTGAGAAAGAAGCCCACAGACTGGACGCTAAGCCGTTATAACCGGCAGCAGGGCCGGTGGAGACGTGTGTGGATGTATCCCGCAGCTTTTGGAAGCGCAGTTGTTCGTTATGTGACCGGAACCGTCTTTTACTTTGAAGGCGGAGCTGCTGTGACGCTGCGGAGCTTCGTCCGACATGTTGGATCTCACGTGGATGAAGCAGCTCAGTGCGACCGGACTGTAGCGAGGCTCTACGGCAGGTAAAGTCACCTTTACCTTTCCCAGTCCCCGCAGACAGCGGCACAAAGAAGCTCCGTGGAGCTCATGTTGACTAAATACTCGGTACCGGGTCTCGGACGCTTTCTGGGCTGAAGGGAACCTCACGCCAAAGTCAATCTAAAATCTACCAGTTTAAAATGTGTTGGTCTCTCAGTGAAGTGGTATTGGCAGTAAAACTCGTAAATGAAGCTGGTCAGCATTCCTGACGATTTATTGTTAGTTCGGCATATAAATGATCGACAAGAGACGACAATACAACCCAAAAGGGACCTGGTTTTACACGGTTTGCGTTTGGAGAGTCCACAAAACAAAGAAACCCTGACAAGTGTAGAGCTACAATCTGCATCATCAGCCGGTTTATCCCAAATCTAAATGACTCCTGTCGATAAAGCCTCGCTGCATTGACCTGTAGCAAAATGCTGCGGATTTAAAAAGTGATGCATTTAGCAGGGAGTCACGTTTCCAAGCAGAGAGAAGATCCTGAACCAGCTGGTCCAGGACAAGTTGGCCTTACCATCATCTTCAGGTGATTCCCCAGCAGCTCTGCCTTCACCAGTGATGGTTCCCTTGTGTTGGACTGCTATTAAAGATAAACTCAGCATCTGGGTCTGACAAGGGAAGACAACATGGAAGTGCCTTAAACCCTCATCCAGCAGGGGGCGACTCCTCCCAGCTGACTCAGGGTGAAGGCAGGGTTCACCTGGGCAGGTAACCAGTCCACCACAGGGCTCGTGATAATTCTAGTTCATGATATCTTTATTTCCACTCAGTTCAAGATGTCGTCCTCATTAGAAATATTAAATCAAGTTTAAATGCAGGTGGCTGTGGCTCAGGTGGTAGAGCGGTGGTCCTCCAGTTGGTTGTTGGTTCGATCCCCCAGCGCTCCACAGTCCAAGTGTCCTGGGGCAAGACACTGAAGCCGAAGTTGCTCCCAATGGCAGCTCTGTCACCATTGGTGTGTGAATGAAGCACATTGTAAAGCGCTCTGGATAAAAGCGCTGTGTAAGTGCAGACCATTTACCAAGTTTAAACTGATGTTGTAGATTTATGCCCAGTCATAATATAATTACAGATAACTTGAATTAGAGTTTTGGCCAGGCTAAATGACATTGCAGATATGTGTAGCTGCGTCAAAAGCCACAGCAAGTTGATTTACAGACATTCTGTGGGTCGCTGCAACTGTGCTGAAAACCTCACATTTTGGGCTTGATCAGCAATCTGAGCCCATCCACATGTTGTAGGTCCACAAGTGTGTCTGGAGACAAAGAAGTACAACACACTCGTCACAATGACATTTGAACTATCTGCAACTGTCTGATATCTTAACTGTCATTTTACTGGTCAGACTAACCTTAAATAAGAACTCTGACCAGTCATGGTGCGTTTAAAACTCGACAGAATGACATTGTTGATGTCTGCAATGTTTATTCCGGGCAGCTGTGCTCACCTGAAAAATGTCAAAGTGGCTGTCCTTGGTCTTCGTAGCTCGTCTTTTGAATACAGCAGGGTGCAAATTTCACACATCGTGGTCCCGTATAGAGGAAGACAGACAGTGATGCAGAGTGTTGTGGCCAAATTTAAAACTCAAGGCTTCAAAGCAGAAGTCCACAAACCAACGTGTGGCGTCTCGGTTGTCCATTTTTGCTACAACATCTAAGACTGAATGCTCAGACAAAGAATGTGATGTTAGCAGATAATCCAGCAGTCTTCATTCATCAGCACAAGGCTGCTGGTTAGATGTCTGTCTGTCTAGTCTGAGCAGCCATTCCAGACATGTGGAGCTAATAAAATAGCTTATTGGACCTAATGTGAAAACACGAACCCTCCAACACGACATGTTCTCAGCAGCAGTTCAGCAGAATTCATGTCAATTCAGGAGAGACAAAAAAAACAATCAAAACTTGACTTGTACAGAAGAAGTGAACTTCATCAGATTTAATACGACACATTTTTAATTCAACATAATGTCACTCTGTCTAAAGCTCGTGCTGCTGGAGCTGAGTTTCTTCTTGGATTTTATTACATTTTATTAGAACTTATCTCCCTGGAAGTTCATTTTGTTTGGAATGTTCAGCATCCATCTGACAACCATTCAAGTCCCCTTCTTTTCCCAAATAATTCTAAATTCCCAACACTTCCTTCTGTGGCATCTTCCAGCACCACACAAACCAAGATGAAGGGGAAAGAGAAGCAGCAGCGGCGGCAGCCAGCGGTCACACAGAAGAAAAATATGGCAAGCAGCAGCAACGATGAAGACTCTGATGTGGAGAAGAACTTCGCCCTGGTCACTGAGAGAGGAGGAAGGCCTGAGGAGGAGGAGGAGGAGGAGGAGGAGCACCTTGGAGGGGAGGAGGGGTCTGATGATGATGATGGTGATGATGGAGAGGAAGACGAGGGTGGGTCAGATAGCGGGGATGAGGAGGAGGAGGTGGAGGAGGAGGAGGAGGAGGATGAGGAGGAGGATGAAGACCCTGAGGATGCTGGTGGTAGCAGTGAAATCCAGACCAAAGACGACATCAGGAAAGGTGAGACTGTCTGCAGCTCAAGAACATTAACACACTTTAAACAGTTTTTACAGATAATCTGTGATTCTGGATGAAGATGTTGAACAGGTGAAACTGAACCGTCTCGCTGTGAAACCGTGAAATAACACCGCAGTGGGTTTTTGTGTAGAAGGGATCCTCACACTCTGGTGGTAAAGAGTGGGACGCTCTGAGGTTGTGTTTGCATGAATATATGTGACGGATGCAGACTTTAATGAAACCACAGTAACGCTGCTACACAGAGATCAGTTTACAGGGATTTAATCAACCACCAGAGACAGGTTTAGTTGAAATAAATGAAAAAAATCAACAAAATAGAACTGGCTCCACTCCTTCCACGAGCGATGCTATATAACTGGTCCACTAGTTCTAACAAAGAGTTCCTGTCTCTGTTCTCTGACCCTCCAGAACTGTCCAGCATGTCCTTTGAGGACATCATGGCGCTGCAGAACAAGGTGGGAACCAAAGTTTACAACCAGGTCGCTTACGGCAGCAACAAGAGTCGAGAGACCAGCAAGAAGAAACGGCTGAACAAGAACAGGTAACGGTTCTGGTCGGCCCTCACGCCCGCTGGACCTTTGACCGCCTGCTCACGGCTGGTGTGTGTGTTTGTGATTTCAGGCCGATGGAGATTTCAGCCAAGAAACCTGCACCGTTCCTGCGTCAGGTCGTCCCCGTCCGGAAACCGGTGAGTGAAGAAACGTGTTCAAACATGAAACCTCACACCTGCTGGAGTTGCTCTGACGCGATGCTGTTTGTGTTTCGGTGCCGCAGACGCTGAGAGATCCTCGATTTGACGACCTGTCCGGGGAATACAAGCCTGAGATCTTTGAGAAGACCTACAAGTTCATTAATGACATCAGACACAGAGAGAAGGAGGTGAGAGAAGTAGAATCAGAAAACACGTGTAAACGGGAAATGTTGGGAAACGGATCAGTGAGCGTTTGGTTTGTGTGCAGATCGTCAAGAAGCAGCTGAAGAAGACGAAGAACAACAACAGCAGGAAGGAGAAGCTGCAGTTCCTCCTCAAAAGAATGGTGAGCGTTAGATCTGGCTCCGACACCAAGTTTAGTCTTTTTTTCATTTGGTTTTTGTTCATTTTAGTCAACAAACATTAGAACATGTGAGTCCAGTTTTTTGATGTTTTCGTCTCATACTTGTTGCATGTTTAGTTTTTGCCTCTTCTGAGCATGTTGAGGCTGCTGCTGCTGCTGTTGCCATGGTTACAGGTGTGCATGTCTGTGGTGAGGTGAGTGAACAGGAGGCCGTCGGCTCACTGACCATGTCCCCGTGACCTGCAGCGCTACAGACTGTTCTCAGCACATAATGAGCTGTGAACTGCTCTCTGTGGCTTTTGCACAAACGTTACCACAGCAGCACGAAACTACTCTTCATTATTTTTTTAACGATCATCTAACTAGTGAATTGCAAACTGGGGGTCCCAAGATCATTTCAGGAGGTCACCAGATCATTGTAAAAAAAAAAAAAAAGCCTACATTTATCAAATAAATGTGTATCAGGGCTGTCGAAATTAAAAGTGTATACTTCCTCCCACTCCTTTTTTGGACTTGTCAATATTATGATTTGATTCTGCGACATTATTCTTTTTTGCTCTTTTTAAAATGATTTTCTTTTGTTTTTGTATTTTTTCCTCTTTCATTTGTTCGAAATAAATTCAATTCAATTCATTCATTCAAAAGAAAACTAATGTACAGAGATTAATCTGTGGAATTAACACATTCATTTTTAATGCATTAATGCACTAATGCAACATTCTGCAGGTTTTTCTCAGCCAAACAGAAACAAGCCCTGAACAGCCTGGATGCTCGTCATGTGAGGGGGTTTAATGCTGAGCGGGCATTAACAGCCAACAGCAGAAAATAAAAAATAAAAACCTAAGCAGGCGGTCAGAAAACATGGAGAGGCCTCAACAGCTGGTAAAGTCCTCTCGCCGTAAGGTCGGTGGTTCAAGCCGCAGCGTCATTTGGCGAGACGCTGAACCACGAGTTGCTTCCAGCGGTAGGCGAGCTCTGCCACCACGAGTGTTTGGATGGCGAGGTTCTGGAGAAGCCAGGGTTTAAAAAGCGCTGTTTGAATGTTAAATCCGTCCACTGTGACTCTGCAGGAGAACCAGGAGCGAGCGAGGAAGAGCCGAGAGCAGCAGAGGGAGAGAGAGCTGCAGTTCAGGAGGGAGCAGAGAGAGCGAGCCAATCAGGGCGCACAACCGTTCTTCCTCAAGAAATGTAAGAAACCGCTCAGTGCTCTGAATTAACTGTAGATGGGTGTTTGTTGTTGTTGTTGTTGTTTTGAAGAATGCATTTAAAGTTTGATTTGGTGCTGAAAGTTGTCCATAAGGTGACACTTCAGTTTTTACCAACGACATCACTACCAGTAAAACATGCTCTTTGTCTCAGAGATGACAAGATGATACCTGTTGTTTTTACACCAGATCACATGTTTGCGATTCAAAAAGCTCAAGAGCGGATTTCTATTTCATCCTGAAACGGCACAATGGGAGAAGTTAAATTCTTTCATTGGGTTGGCAAAGCCCTGAAATGACAAAGATGAGCATTTAAGAAGGAAAGGTGGTGAAAATAATCTGAAAATAGCCGAGGATCGTAGGGTTAATGAAAACTTTGCAGCTTTAACTTTTACTGAACCAGGTTGGAGACTTTTTAAAGAAAGACAAGAGTTTTGAATAACTCTATTTTTTATTATTTTAAACAGCTGAGAAGAAGAAGCTGCAACTGGCTGAGAAGTACCAGGAGCTCAAGAAGAGTGGCAAACTGGACAGCTTCCTGAGCAAGAAGAGGAAGAGGAATGCCGGGAAGGACCGCAGGAAGCTGCCCAAACAGCTGCAGAACAAGAAGGCTGTCTGAGGCGTCCAGTCGCCCTGAAGAGAGAAACTCTTCATTCTTTAATCTGTGAGAGACTGAGCCACCTGTAAGGAAGTGTGTCCAACTTACTGACAAATCAGCATTCAGGAGAGCTTGGGCATCTGAACATTACGTTCTTGTGTCTTGGGCTTCACGGTCCTGATAGTTCGATGATCTGACAGGCTTCAGGAGCAAAGTGTTGGTTGGTTGGTGGAGTCGGTCGCCACAAACCCCGTGTGTCACAAAGATGTTTTGTTTTTTTTTAAAAAAAAAACCCAGATGACAAAAAAATAACCAAACATGGATGCTGTAAAAACTGCTAATTAGGTCTGAGCTGCCAACGAACAGCAACGATGTGAGATGCTGGAGAGTCCACGAGCTCGTCACTTGTTGTAAAGAATAATTATAGATGCTTTTTATGGACAGACAGACTGTCAGCTGCCTGGAAGAAAGGAAATCGGTGTAAATCCTGATGAAGCTCTTGTATAAAACCATTTTCCGAGCTTGTTTAAAGAACCGTGGTCAGAGCTGTGCGGAGGTTGTGTCGCAGGAAACCACCTCTGGAACTCAAACTCTGCATTTTGAATTGTTAATTTCTACTAAATACTGTTTCTTTAATAAAATGTTGTTTATATGTTGTTTTAATGTGTTTGCATATAGAATGCATAACTTTATTTAAATACTAAAAACACAGGACACTGATCAGAGAGGAGGAAGTTCCATATATTCTTCTGATTGGACTTGTTGCTTTGGGCGTCCTGCACCGTGGGGTTTCCAGACCACACAAACACATTGAAGCGCCTCTTTGTGAGACTGTGAAACACAAAATTCATCCTCAACATCAAGATCATAAAAAACTTGTTCAGAAGTACAAAAACTATATAATCTTGTGTTATATATAGAGAGGTGCTAGTTCTTAGATGAGCACATGTGGACTTGTGTCTTTACGTCTTCTAAGCGGGTCTCCTTGATGACCCCCTTGAGCTTGGGGAAGAGGAACCAGCCCCACGGAGCCAGGTGGGGTGAGCAGGGAGGTTGCTCCAGCACGGAGATGTTCTTGTCAGCCAGGAGCTGTGGGATGCTCAGGGCGCTGTGAGCAGGTTGTCATGGTGAAGCAGCCTCCACTGGTCCTGACACAACTCTGGCTCTTCTGGACGAAGCAAATGCTGCAGGATCTCTGTGGACGAGCTGGTTGATGGTCTGAAGGGGAAAACTCCTAGTTTGTCTAGTTTATCATTTGGGAGGAACCCGGAGAGAACCCACGCTGCACGGGGAGAACATGGAGACTCCACGCAGAAAGATCCCGGATGTCCTCATCGGGATGCCAACCAGTGACCTTCTTGCTACGAGGCAACGGTGCTAACCACTGATCCACCTGCAGCCCCATGTTAACAATAAAAACATAATTTTGTATTTTTCTAACATTTTTCCTTTAGAACAGCCTTTGAGTCAGGGATCATCTGCATCTCAAACACAGTAAGTGTAAAATAGTAAAACAGAAAAACCGTAGCCCTTTCATTCAACTATATGCACTCATCTGAACAGCAGGGGGCGCTACAGGACAGAGGACTCTCCTCCATGAATATGAGGGATTTTGTTCACTGTCCTCTGCACAGAACGTTTTTTGTTTGTTTTTTACTGTATAGTATCTTCTGACCATCTAGTGAGACATGTGGCAGCAGATCCCAGTCGTCCAGTGGTCAGACAGAGAACTACAGTCATGTGCTGCTCACACACACAATACTGTAAGAAATCAAGAGGGATCTGCAGAAACGAGTAAATATCTGCGCTTTAATAACAACACGTCTGCTTGTGTTTCCCTGTAGCTCTGAGGCCTCCTCTGACTGGAAAACATTTCACCTCTCTGTTCATGTTTAGTCATTTTAAATGTGATTCTACATCTGAACTCTAAATGCATTATGTTCTTAATGGACCAATCATATCAGAGCTCTGGTTGAACAGGCCAGACATCTTCTATGTTTTATTTCTTGATGGTTACACAATGAACATGTCACTGTGAATTCTCACACAGTCAGACTTTACTGACTGCAGATTACTACTGACTCAGAGTCAAACGCAAGTTATCTGTAATTCATCCATCCATCCATCATCTCTACACCTTAATCCTCACTAGGGTCATGGGGGGCTGGAGTCTATCCCAGCTGACTCAGGGTGAAGACAGAGGACTGGACTGGACTGTGGGAGGAAGCCGGAGAACCTGGAGAGAACCCACGCTGCACGGGGAGAACATGGAGACTCCACGCAGAAAGATCCCGGATGTCCTCACCGGGACGCCAACCGGCGACCTTCACATCACCTTTTATAAGCTCTGTTGTCATCATGAAATGTATTAAACTTGTGTAGCACCTTCAGTCTTAACTCTTAGGTTAAAGAGATACTCACATGGCTCCAGGTCCGATAGGAGTTGCACCAGAAAGTGACTTTCAAAAAGGAGTGGGTGTTGGTATTAGAACAG